GGCCTACTGGTGGGTGCCGTGCGCGCGCTGCAGGCTTTTCCGTTGTCCATCATGTGGTTATTTTTCGGTGATGCGCATTCTTGCACTCATTGACTAGCAGTCGGTCGGTCGGTTGTCTGCTGTGCTGTTCCGTTAAGTAAGGGCGCATCCGGGCAAACTGCCTGCCTGCCTGCCTGCCTGCCTGCAAAGCAAGAGAGTAGCCCTCCTGTCAATCCTACACATAGGATGCTATGCTGTGCATGCCATCATGATTGGCACATAGGGCTGTGCTGTGTCTGAGAGAGATGCGATTTGCCGACCGGCAATCAATCGCTGGCGACTGAGTGATCCGTCAATTAGAGCTTATCTATCAGCTGGATTCTATGCTTTCTGCTTATTTGTGGTCGGTTTCCAGTCAGTGTTGTTATTTTTTCTGTTGGTGGGGGATGGGACCATTGAGTTTGACTGAGCGTGGCTGTGTGTGTTCTGTGTGCATCACACATGTGAGCCGGGGCCCCACACGCAAGGCCATCCACCCCCTGAGGGCACACACCGCACCGGTTGTCTCTCTGTCTCTCTCTGTGTCCGTCCATCGGCTTTCGGCCGACTTGACGGGGTCGTGTGTAGAGATGAATACTAAGAGTTAGACTTCATCGTAATGAGTTCTGTCTGAGGACGCACACCGCCTCGCTCAGTGTTCGTCCTTTCCACTGGGTTCCATCTCGCACCGGTTGACCGCACTAAGCCCATCGATTTCCTTCTGTGCTGCACACCCACTTCTCACACACGCAAGGCCATCCGCCCAACCGCCGCACACAGACAGCCCACCACACCAGCAGTCATTCCTGAGCTTTCCAGCCTCAAGCGCTGGACACTCGTCGAGTTGCGTCAGTCAGACTGCCTGGGTGTGTCTACCACCTGCTGCTGCACACGCGCATTCACGAATTTCGCAAACCCCACGCGTCATTACTGTGCAGATGAGCACGGCAGCGACCTTCATGCGCACCTGATTGCAATGGGAAAAAACTTCAGGCGCACCGATCGCCGACTCTGCGAGCTTAGACTGCGAAAGGGACGCACAAACAGCACAGGACAGATCAGCAGCAGAGAGGCTCACACACGCACACAGGAAGGCCGCACGAGCAGCCAGGGGGAGCCAGGAGGGCAAATAAGCTGATATCTCTCTCTCTGTGTCTGTGTGCAGGTCGAGATGGCGTGTTGCGCCAAGGCCCGGAGGCTCCTTAGGGTGTCAGAGGATTGCTCTCGGTGAGGGCTTTGCTATGTGGCGACTGATTGGCCTCTGCTCACGGCGGCTCGTCTGTGTGGGGTGTTCTGACCCATGTGCAGCTCAGCGAGGCGTGCGTGTGCAGGAAATTCCTGAGCACCAGATTGGCCGCAGCATCCAGCCAGACACGCACAGTCGTCGAGCGGTGCTCTCAGAGGCACCTTCTGACTGACTCCCTCCCTCCCCTCTGTGTGTGAGTGTCATCTCTGCAGGCACACCACACCATCTGTGTGTGCGGCCCGGCCCATTCAACACACGAGTCGGATGCATCACTGAGTTGGTCAGACAGGTGCCAAGAGAGAGGGGCAGGTCAGCAAAACTGACGACGCTACGCAACCGAACAAAAATGTCACCATTTTGCCATTTTTGACCGTAGGATGACCCTTGACGGCCACCTGTAGGCCCACATACGACTGATAGACAAGAACCAAGACCACCCAGGGTTAGTGCGAAAACATATGGAACCAACCTTTTATAACCGACTTCTTCTTTCTGTGTGTGTGGGGGGTGTGCGTGTGTATAGGTATAGGTACGGCGGTCAGATTATGGGTGCCAGCCAGCGGCTCTTTCTTGTGGAGTTGGATCAGCCCACCCACTTGGATGTGACCTACCACAACAGCAAGAGCAAGCAGCACACGGGCGTGTTTGTGTATCGTGGCTGTGAGACGGGCATGGCCAGGGAGCCGTCCGTCTGGCGGGGGGAGATCTGGCACGACCAAACAAGAGGCATCAACACGCTGCCCATCTACATCCCTGAGGCGGGCTTCTATGCCGTGTTGTGAGTAACATTTGTGAGATCGGCTTTGAGACGGACATCACCATCACGTGCCCTGATGATGGCGGCTCTGGCTCTGGCGGGATAATCGTGAGCGTGCAGTCGGCAGATGACGGCTTCTTGAATGGGGACAACACATGACAGGAGAGTCGTGTGAAGGTGGGGGCATTCATCGTGTGTGTTGGCGTGATTCATTCATGTGGGCGAGGAGCCAACTGGTGGGGGCCGTGCGCGCGCTGCAGGCTTTTTCGTTGTCAATCACGTGGTTATTTTTCGGTGATGCGCATTCTTGCACTCATTGACTGTCAGTCGGTCGGTCGGTCGGTTGTCGGCTGTGCTGTTCCGTTAGGAAAGGGCGTATCCGGGCAAATTGCCTGCCTGCCTGCAAAGCAAGAGAGTAGCCCTCCTGTCAATCCTACACATCCGATGCTATGCTATGCTGTGCATGCCATCATGATTGGCACATAGGGCTGTGCTGTGTCTGAGAGAGATGCGATTCGCCGGCCTGCAATCATTAATCGCTGGCTCCGTCAATTAGAGCTTATTTATCAGCTTATTCTATGGAACGAACACCTTTCTGTTTATATATTTGTGGTCGTTTTCCAGTCAGTGTTGGTATTGTTGTGTTGGTGGGGGATGGGACGAGTGACTTTGACTGAGCGTGTCTGTGTGTGTTCTCTGCGTGTGTGTTATCGCATCACATGCGAGCCCCCCACACGCAAGGCCGTCCGCCCCCTGAAGGCACACAACACACCGGTTGTCTCTCTGTCTCTCTCTGTGTCCGTCCATGGGCTTTTGGCCGACTAACTTGGCGGGGTCGTGTAGACATGAATGAGTACTAAGAATTAGACTTCATCGTAATGAGTTCTGTCTGCGGACGCACACCGCCTCGCCATGTATTCGTCCTTTCCACTGGTTCCATCTCGCACCAGTTGACCGCACTAAGCCCACCGATTTCCTTCTGTGCTGCACACCCACTTCTCACACACGCCAGGCCATCCGCCCAACCGCCGCACACAGACAGCCCACCACACCAGCAGTCATTCCTGAGCTTTCCAGCCTCAAGCGCTGGACACTCATCGAGTTGCGTCCGTCAGACTGCCTGGGTGTGTCTACCACCTGCTGCTGCACACGCGCATTCACGAATTTCGCAAACCCCACGCGTCATTACTGTGCAGATGAGCACGGCAGCGACCTTCATGCGCACCTGATTGCAATGGGAAAAACTTCAGGCGCACCGATCGCCGACTCTGCGAGCTTAGAGTGCGAAAGGGACGCACAACAGCACACCACAGACCAGCAGCAGAGAGGCTCACACACGCACACAGGAAGGCCACACGCGCAGCCAGGGGGAGCCAGAAGGGCAAATAAGCTGACATCTCTCTCTCTTTGTGTCTGTGTCTGTGTGTGCAGGTCGAGATGGCGTGTTGCGCCAAGGCCCGAGGGCTCCTTAGGGTGTCAGAGGATTGCTCTCGATGAGGGCTTTGCTATGTGCTCACTGATTGGCCTCTGCTCACGGCGGCTCGTCTGTGTGGGGTGTTCTGACCCATGTGCAGCTCAGCGAGGCGTGCGTGTGCGGGGGATTCCTGGGCGGCAGATTGACCGGGGCATCCAGCCCGGCACGCACAGCCGTCGAGCGGTGCTCTCAGAGGCACTTTCTGACTGACCCCCTTCCTCCCCTCTGTGCGCGACTGTCATCTCTGCAGGCACTTCTTTCGCTGTGGGTATTGCCCGGCCCATCCAAAACATGGATCAAGTGCATCACTGAGTTGGTCAGACAGGTGCCAAGAGAGAGGGGCAGGTCAGCAAAACTGACGACGCTACGCAACCGAACAAAAATGTCACCATTTTGCCATTTTTGACCGTAGGATGACCCTTGACGGCCACCTGTAGGCCCACATACGACTGATAGACAAGAACCAAGACCACCACTGGGTTAGTGCGAAAACCATGAAAATGACCCTTTATAACCGACTTCTTCTTTCTCTGTGTGTGTGGGGTGTGTGTGTATAGGTATAGGTACGGCGGTCAGATTATGGGTGCCAGCCAGCGCCTCTTTCTTGTGGAGTTGGATCAGCCCACCCACTTGGATGTGACCTACCACAACAGCAAGAGCAAGCAGCACACGGGCGTGTTTGTGTATCGTGGCTGTGAGACGGGCATGGC